TGAAATGTTAAAGGGACTTATCTAAGAAAAAGAAGTTAAAGAAACATGAACAGTGAAAGGACAACAAGCTCACAGTTATTAACAACCACACCTAAAACGAAAGCAAACTAAAAGGACAGCTAGATCAGGAGTGGAAACATAGAAATGAAGATCTCAAGGAGGGTTAGCAACAGGGGAGTGGGAGGAGGAGATGGGGGGAGAAGGTACGGAAAATAAGTAGCATAGACAGTAGATAGAAAATAGATGGGGGGGGCAAGAATAGCATGGGAAATATAGAACCTAAAGGACTTGAGACACATGGACATAAACTAAAGGGGGGTAATGGTGGGGATGGGGGGGCAGGGTGGAGGGGAATGAAGGGGGGAATAGAACAACTGTAACAGCATAATCAATTTAAAAAATAAATAAATAAATAAATAAAAAGAAAGGGAAGAAGAAAGAGGGAGAGAAACATTAATGTGTGGTTGCCTCTTGTGCCCCACTGGGGCCTGGCCCACAATCAAACCAGTGACCCTTTGGTTCACAGGCCAACACTGAATCCACTGATTCAACCAGCCAGGGTGAGAAAACAGAAAATTGTTAAAAAAGAAAAATTCCCAGAAGCCAAGCACAATAAATAAAAATAGACTCAAATCAAGGCAGATATATCATTGTGAACTATCAGAAAAATATCAGGGGGAAAAATATCAGGAACAAAGAGAAGACTATCGGCCTCCACAGACAAACAGATCATATATAAATGAGCACAAATCAGCAACAAAACAGATTTTTAAAAATTTCTCACCTTAGCATATGTTTATTGATTTTAGAGAGAGGAACAGGGAGGTGGTGGAGAAAAGAGAGACAGAGAGACAGAGAGAGAGGCACTAAGACAGAAACATATCAATGTGAACAGAAACATCAATCAGCTGCTTCCTGTATGAGCCCCAACTGGGAATCAAACCCACAACCCAGGTATGCACCCTGTCCAGGGACTGAACCCGCAACCTTTTGGTGTATAGGACGACGCTCCAACCAACTGAGCCACCCGGCCAAGACCAAAACAGATTTCTTTCTTTCTTTTTTTTAAAGATTTTATTTATTCACTTTTTAGAGAGGGGAAGGAAGGGGAGAGAGACGTAAAGAAACGTCAATGTGTGAGAGACATACTGATCGGTTGCTTCTTGCAAGCCCCCAACCGGGCACATGTCCCACAACCCAGGCATGCGCCCTGACTGAGAATCGAACCAGAGATCTTTCAGTTCACAAGCCCGCACTTGATCCACTGAGTCACACCAGCCAGGGCCAAAACAGATTTCTTAACAGAAAACACTGGGAATTACAAAATAATGGCACAACACCTTTAAAATTCAGGTAGAAAAAAAGCAGTCTATTGATTCGACATTAATACTATCAAAATACCAATGGCGTATTTCACAGAACTAGAACAAATAATCCAGAAATCTATATCAAACCACAAAACACCCAAATACCCACAGCAATCTTGAGAAAGAAGAACCAAGCTGGAGGTATCATGCTATCTGATGTCGAACTATACAAGGCCACAGTAATCAAAACAGCATGGTACTGGCATAAAAACTGACATATAGGTCAATGGAATAGAAAAGGGAGCTCAGAAATGAACCCACACCTATACAGTAAATTAACATATGATATATGTGGCAAGAATCTACAATGGGGTAAAGACAGTCTATTCAATAAATGGTGCTGGGAAAAATTGAACACATACATAGAAAAAATAAGACTAGAACCTTCCTATATCATATATAAGAATAAACTCAAATTGAAGTAAAGACTTAAATGTAAGATTCAAGACTGTAAAACTCCTAGAAGAAACCATAGGCAGTAAAGTCTCAAATATTTCTCTTAGCAATATTTTTTCTGATATATCTCCCCGGGCAATGGAAACAAAAGAAAAAAAATAAACAAATGGGACCACATCAAACTAAAAAGTTTTTGCACAGCAAAGGAAACCATCAACAAAATGAAAAGACAACCTACTGAATAGGAGAAGATATTCACCAATGACCACATCCAATCATTGTGGTTACTATCCAAAATTTATAAAGAACTCAAAACAACTCAACACTGAAACCACAAACAATCCAGTTTTAAAAATGGGCAGAAGAGCACCTGATATTTCTCCAAAAGAGGACATACGGATGGCCAACAGACATATGGAAAGATGCTCAATATTACTATCATCAGAGAGATGCAAATTTAAACCACGATGAAATATTACCTCATACCAGTCAGAATGGCTATCATTAATAAATCCACAAACAAGTGCTGGTGAGGATGTGGAGAAAGCGGAACTCTCATTTACTGCTGGTGGAAATGCAGACTGGTACAGCCACTATGGAAAACCTCCATATGGAGGTGCCTCAAAAAATTAAAAATGGAACTGCCTTATGACCCAGTGATTCCACATCTGGGCATTTATCTGAAGAAACCCAAAACACTAATTCAAAACAATGTATGCTCCCCGAGGTTCATTGCAGCATTATTTACAATAGCCAAGATATGGAAGCAACCCAAGGCCCCATAGAAAGACAAGTGGATAAGAAGTGGTAGTACAGATACACAGTGGAATATTACTTGGTCATAAAAAGGAATGAAATCTGACCATTTGTGACAGCATGGGTGGACCCAGAAGGTATTACGCCAAGTGAAATAAGCCAGTCAGAAAAGGATCTCACTTATATGGAATCTAAAGAACAGAATAAACAAACCAAAATGAAACAGAGTCATGGATACAGAGAACAGACTGATGATAGCCAGAGGGGAGGGGTTTTTAATAAGATGCATGAATGTCCACCCACTATGCTGTACACCTGAAACTAATACAAAATAATGTTGAATTAAACTGTAAGTGAAAAAAAGTTTAAGAGAAATAAATATTTGGATGGAGAATTATTATAGAGCTTGAAATTAGTATTATAGAACACAAAAATCTATAGAAAATGAATTATCGATCATGAATTATCAAAAATCTATACAAAATGAATGATCAATCATGGGTCACATCATAATTTTTTGACATTCAAGTTCTCAAGAAAATATGTTCCTACCATGCATCCTTCTTCGAGAAGTTATTTGAGGATATATTTTCATCATGGTGGATTCCACCAAGAAAAAAGACAAATAGGACCCAAGAAACAGGAAATCCAACAGAAAAGGGAGATAAAGGGGAACACCTGGCGTGGCAATGAGATGGAAGAAACTAGTTTTAAAAATTGTAAAAATCAAGCCAAATTGGAGCAGATCAGAAGGCAAAGATGGACTTTAAGATGAAAGTGGAACATTATCTACTAAATCTAAGTATCTTGGAAGATGATTTAGGCAATTATGAGAATTAAGGGTCAAATCAAGAGTAAATACATAGACTAAACAACAACCAAATGTGCATTAACTCCAGAGAAAACAAGTGGCACGGGAAAAACAATCACAGCACGTACCACACGGTGCAGCTGTGGAGATGGTGTTCCGTCATTACAAAAAATACCTACGGATGAAAAAGGGCTCTAAGGAAAGTAACCTCACAGGGTGTAAATTCCTACCTGGGCAGGTCATGGTGGGTGGTCAGGCCCCAGGCACACACCTTGTTTAGTAAAAGGTTTATTTTTGCTCAAGGTTTGTCTTGAGCAAACCCTGTCCATTGTTTTCTGTGCATCTAGGTTAACACACTTTTGAAATGCCCCCTTTCAGGTCCTTCCTCCTAAATCAACCACCCTTAAAACATGACCTCAATTACTCTGTAATCCATTCCTAATCCTGCCTCCCTTTCTTCCACCTTCTCCTCACATCTTCCTCATGCTCCCTCCTTAATTTCAAATGTGTAAAAGAAACTGAAAATGAGGAACTAGTATAAAGGACACATGGACAGCAACAAAGGGGAGTGGGAATGGGAGGGAGGTGGGGAGCACGGGGGTGGGAGGTGGGCTGGGATGGGAGTAAAAAACAGAAAACTGTACTTGCACAATTAAATTAAAAAAAGAAACTCATAATGTTATTCTCTGGAGCATTTGAGATTTTGTTCTTCAGCATACATCATCAGTTTGGCTCAAATAAACTCTTAAAAAATTCTCTACAGGACTGGACATTTCTTATGTCAACTGGATACTGATATAACCAAAACTGGACATAAGAACAACAGTAAGTTGGACAGTTGGAAGGGTGTGGGCGCGCACAGAGTGAGAGGAATGAGTCCAAAGAAGACTGATAACGAGGAATGATGGGAACTGTTTGGTTTCAAAACAAGCATTTTTAATTAAAATGAAAAGTGGTTTTCAAATGATCTCTCTGGCCACTCTGGTCCTTAATTAGGGTAGTTCAACAGCAGTGAGATTAGTAAGGGAGTGGTCACAAGTTAATTTTCCACGTAGACACAACAGAACTTAATAGATCAGCTGGACCAAAAGTGAGGAATAAGGATGGCTCCATTCCTAGGGGGGTTTGTTCGTTTTCTACCGAAACGATTGCATGGGTACTTTACTAAGATGGGAAAGTCTGGGGAAGGGGCAGGACGGCGGAAGAGAGCAGTCTATTTGGGTATCAAGATTTAGTTTGGCTCTGCTCAGTTTGAGATGCCTATACCAAACCATACACAAAAACTGAGACGGGAGCAATGGACATATACGTTGCCACCGAGCAAAAAGCATTATCATTATTTCTACCTACCAGATACCTTCTGAGGGCAGAAAGTGGGCAGATCTACCTTGCACGAGATGCTAGCAGGCAATTCCCTCGGGACGGAACGTGGTAAGTTTCAATGCTCAGACTGCCCTTCCGACGATTTCGGCATTGGCGTGACCAGGAGACTCCTGCGGCCGCAGTGAGGCCGCCGGGACGGCTGCGCGAGGTGCCCTCTGCACACCTCTCTGGCCACAGGGGCGCAGCTGGCAGGGATGCTCGAGACCCACGGGGCCCACTCAGTGGAGCCAAGCGCACCTCAGGTGGGGCGCAGGGCGGGGTAAGCCTCCGAAGGCGGAATAACTTACCCGAAGGCACGTAGTCTTCGTCTTCCTCTGAGGAGGAGACGTCGTCGGAGTCGAATTCCTCCATATCGCTGACACGTGGAGCGGGCCAAGCCACAGGAGCGTCGCTACTGACCTCAAGGTAAAGATTAAGGGAGAGACCTTAAAGCCGAGGCTGGGGTGGGTCCTTTCAGCTAGTTCACATGCGCAGAGAGTGTGCGTGATGGCTTCCAGGCCATTGCCGGGGGAGGGGGGGAGGGCGTGACGTCACTATGAGAGTTGACGGAGCAAAGGCTTCGTGATGAAGCGGTGTATTCTGGGACTTGTAGTCTTAGACTCTACCTTGTTTTATTAATTTAGTAAATGGTCTTAAATAAAATTATATGTGGGAATACACTTGATCCTCAGTATTCGCAGGTTGGTAGTTTCAAATTCGCTTATTTGTTAAAATGTATTGTAACCCCAAAATTAATATCCGTAGGGCTTTCTGGGGTAATTTGCGGACATGAGCAAAGGGTGAAAAATTTGAGTCAATGGTGCGTTTTACCAGCTGACAATGAGCAAGGCAGGCGATGTATATGTACGTGTACATGTACTTTTTGTAGTCTATTAGTGCCACTTCTTTTTAGCATTTTTTGTTTTCCATTTCTGTGCTTTTTATAGTAATTTTGCTGTTTACAATGAGTCCCAAACTCAGTGCTGAAGTGCTGCCTAACGTTCTTAAGCGCAAGCAGGCTGCGTGTGCCTCACGGAGATAATACATGTGTTAGGTAAGCTTCGTTCAGGCATGAGTTGTAGCCCTGTTGGCCGAGAGTTCAATGTTAATGAACAAAGAATTCAGTGCATCAAGAAAAAGGGAAAGGAAATTCACAGATCCATATTCGAGGCTGCTCCAGAAAGCACTAACGTGACATCTATAGTGTGTGAGGAAGATATAGAAAAGATGGAAAAACGGCTAAATTTTTGGACTCTAGACAACAGATTTTTAAAAGGTGTGGTGGACAGCATGGCTGTGAGGCTGATGTTCAAAGAAATTTATGGTCACGTTACTCAGGGTCAGGAAAATGTGAAACCGTCTCGGTTGGTGCTGGCTGACTTGCACGTTTCAAAAGGCAGTACGGGATGAAAAATGTTAAACCTACTACAGGCAAATTCTGCAGACCAGGAAGCTGTGGAAGAATTTTAAAAATACTTGCTAAGTGTTACACAGGAAAAGGGTTATGTGGAAGAGCAGGTTTTCAATGCTAATGAGACTGGTGTGTTCTACAAGGACATTGGCAAACAAACCTATATAATATGCAAATGGCCTCCAAAGCTCTTGGTTTTAAGTCACTCTGAGAATATGCAACCTTGCTATTGTGAGCCAATGCCACCAGTGCAAACCCTTTATGTTGTACAGAACCCAAAATTCACAAGCACTTCAAGGGAAAGGCAGTCCATTGGTAGAGAAACAGAAAAGCGTGGATGACCTTTGGTTCCACAACTGTTTCATACCAGAAGTTGAATGCCATCTCCAGGACAGAGACCTTGCCTTCAAGGTTTTATTAATTTTGGATAATGCCCCAGTCCATTGCTGTGAAGAACTCCAAAATGCCCACCCTAATCAATGTAAAGGTTCTTTTCATGCCCCCAAATACCATGTCTCTCTTTCAACCCCCAAACCAAGACATAATAAAAGCTTTCAGGGCACACTGTACCAGCAAAGATATATAAAATAAGGTTTCTTTAAACAGAAACATCCATAAAAAAAGGTTATGTGTTGATCAGTTGACAAAAATGTGACCCCAGACTCCCAGGAACCCAACCTTGTATTTTCTTTTTTTTTTTTAACTATATCATAAGAAAAAATTAGTAGGCAATACATTAATTTTTATGTAAACTTGATACAGGTTTACATAAAGAAAATTAATTCCTGTTATAAATATACTTAATTTCAAGATTTTGGGGGGAGAAACAAACCTCAGTGGTTCCCGTCCTTTACACACAGTGTGATCATAATTTTCTCTTCTCCCAACTTTTTCTGCAAAGCTTGAGTTCATCACTCCCTAAAGCAGATGACTGAGGCAAATCATATACCTTTTTCAATTAGCAAGACATCAGAAGAGATTTTAAGAGCTTGGGGAGGGGGCTGCATCTTTTACTGAAAAGAATTAGTAAATAGAGAGACTCCAGAGACAGAATGGCTAAATAACTTCAGAATCTGGAAAATACGAGATTCACAAGGAAGCTAACCTCCCCCAAACCTCTTCATCCCACCGGAGGCTTAGGGGGACATTCATCCTGACATTTCTCTATAACCCCACATTTTCTAAACAAGGTGGTGTTTTTTTCTACCATATGGTGACAAAAAGCTAGATATTTAGAGGAGTGACGACACCTAGTATGCTGTATATGGCTGTATGGCTTTGAAAGTAATATCTGAATTATTGAGTAAAGAACTGTAGAATTTCATTAGATTCCAGCGTGTATTAGCTTATGGAAATCCCAGTAGGGATAGATTTGTATAATAGTGTAGGATCTCTACTTCTTTTTTTGTTTGCTTGTTTCTTTAAAACATATTTTATTGATTATGCTATTACAGTTGTCCCATTCCTGCCCGGTATTTCCCTCCATCCCGCACACCCCCTCCCACCTGCATTCCCCCGCTTTTGTTCATGTCCATGGGCCATACATTTTAAGTTTTTTGGCTTCTATATTTCCTATACTATTCTTAACCTCCCCCTGTCTATTTTCTACCTATCATTTATGCTACTTATTCTTTGTACCTTTTCTCCCTCTCTTCCCCTCCCATTTCCCCACTGATAACCCTCGTCCATTTCTGTAATTCTTTTCCTGTTTTAGTAGTTTGCTTAGGATTTTTTTTAGGTTTGGTTGTTAATAGCTGTGAGTTCTTGTTGTCATTTTACTGTTCGTATTTTTTATCTTCTTTTTCTTAGATAAGTCCCTTTAACATTTCATAGAATAAGGGCTGGGTGATGATGAACTCCTTGAACTTGACCTTATCTGAGAAGCACTTGATCTGCCCTTCCATTCTAAATGAAAGCTTTCCAGGATAGAGCAGTCATGGGGAGTGGGAGGAGGAGAAGGGGGGAGAAGGTACAGAGAATAAGTAGCATAGACAGTAGGTAGAAAATAGACAGGGGGAGGGCAGGAATAGTATGGGAAATGTAAGAGCTAAAGAATTTAAGACACATGGACATGAACTAAAGGAGGGAATGTGGTTGGGGGAGGGGTGTGCAGGATGGAGGGGAATGAAAGGGGGGGAAATAGAACAACTGTAATAGCATAATCAATAAAATATATTTTTAAAAAGCCCCAAGAACTTAAGTCAGACAATTGTATTACAAAAGATTAAACTCATTGGCCACTGAAAGAGAAATAATAGACCCAGTTCACAGAATTTAAAGTAATTCTTTATTGATAAACATTTATACCAGAATTAGAAATGTCAGTAGAAAAATAAAATTTAAATAATTTTCTATCATACAAAGAGTTGATCGTTTTGACTGTAGCAGTTAGTGAAATAATCTAATACAAAAAGTTAAGCTGATTTTAGTCACAACCAGCCTAAGAGAGTGCACAAAAAGAAATGCAGGTAAATCGAAGTTTCTGCTTGTGGACTGCCGCTCACGGCACCAGGGCTTCACATTCCAGGAAACGGCATCTCGGGGGAGGTGTGTGCACTGCAGTTGCAGTAAGAACTTAACTCAAACCAGAGCAGTAAGAAGGGGCATCAAAAGGCAACATACAACTTAAAAAACAGAAGGAAGGATTTAAAGGTAATAATTGCATGAACTTTTTCTCATTAGTTTAGACATTTCCTAAGAAGTAATGTTTCCTGAAGAAAAAAAGGGGGGGAGTGTGGTTAACAGCACAAAGAGCCACGGTTATCTTGGAATATCCGTTAGGCATTTAAATGTGGACCTAAGTTTTCACAAAATGCCTTTACCCCCAAACACCCATTGTAAAGAATCCAGAAGTCAGCATTTTGGTTAAGGGCTGTCTCCCTTACCCACATTTAAAAAAAAAGGGTGAGGTCTAGCTGGTACTGTAGCTCAGTGGATTGAGCGCGGGCCTGCGAATCACACGATAGCGGTTCAATTCCCAGTCGGCACATGCCTGGGTTGCAGGCCAGTTCCCAGCAGGGTACTCACGAGAGGCAACCATACATTGATATTTCTCTCCTTCCCTTCCCCTCTAAAGATAAATAAATAAAATCTTAAAAAAAAAAGTGAATATACAGCTGGGGTTTGGGGTAGTTCTGTATGTCTCTTAAGAAAGCTAGGTATTGGTAATAATTATCAAAACACTGTACAGCAAAATACAATGTTCAATACGAATGCAGATATTTTTTCATTTGGACAACTACTCCCAAATAATTGTGTATTTGAAATGAGAAATTTAAAACAATCAAACAAAAGAAATAAGGAGGAACAGCCATTCTTTACCATTCAAATAGTTTCATCCTAAAAACATTTCAAGCTGCAAAACTCAATTTATATTAAGTATATACACATATATTCACAGAAGAATGTTCACATACTTGGATGGAGGAAACATTCAGTTTGAAGATACATTTTACATCTGAAGTTTGTGAAAAGAGCATGTAATCAAAATATAGCAAACACGAAAGGATGAAAACAGAGAACACCTTTCAAAATGCGTTAATTTTTTGTGTCTTGGCTCTAAAAGAAAAATAACCAAACATTTAAATCATAGATCAATATGGTTTTTAAATCAGTACTCTGGGGGAGGGGTCCACCAATCAGTGGCCCACTTGTTCAATTTGTGAAGTTCTATCCAAAAGAGTGCTGTAGGTGAGAATGCTGAGGCACCCTTCCACAGGGATTTTTAAAATCATTTCTTATAATAAAGGATATATACCAAATTTCTTAGACTGAAGGGCTACTTTTCAAAATCACAGCTCCATGAAATGAAAAATGGAGTCTTTAAATAAAGGCTTAAAAGTTGCTTGAAAGAAAGATTTGAGCCCTGGAGAGTAACCTTGGGGCATTTATAGACTTTGGTCTGCATTCCAGCTCTACCTGTGATTTTCTACCGAGGCTGAGAATGTCACTGTAACTTGGACGAGTGGTCTAAGGGCCCTTAGTTGAAAGAAAATGTCCAGTTAATTTTTGTGATCCTTTTGTAATTTTTCTCTTTGACTATCCCTGGTAAATTGGTCCCCCTGGCTGTTTTTAATCCCAAGCCAGAATGTGTATTTCTTGAAGTGAAACAGTTTGTGTGTACGTGACCTCATGGGCTGTCAGCCTTACTCTCTCAATGAAACTTTCCTTTAAAAAATGTCAAACTTAATTACCAAAAGTTACTTTGAGAACAGATAACGACAACAGTGACTGTATTCCATACAGAACAGTTTCAGGTTTTGCAATCCTGTTTTGAGGGTCACAGTTTTCAGGCCTTTTAATAAAAAAGAGCATTAGGCAGTAAAAGAAAATTTTCAAAAGCTAAAATTGGGTTTTAAAAGCCTCTTCATATTTGACCCTGCAGGTGTGGCTCAGTTGGCTGGAGCACTGTCTGTGAACCACAAGGTGGCAGGTTCTGTTCCCTGTCGGGGCCCAGGCCTGGGGAGCCGACGAGTCTCCAGTTGGGGCAGCTGTGAGAGGCAGCTGATTGATGTTTCTTTCTCTCTCACACTGATGTTTCTCTCCCTCTCTGATTCCCTCCCTTCCCCTCTCTCTAAAAATCAGTATATGTATGTCCTTGGGTGAGGATAAAAAAAGGAAAAAACCTCAGTATTTAATGTTCTTTAAGGACATAAATTCTCTTAAAGGAAAATGTAAAGGACACAGTGGAAGGCATCTGAGAAATAAACTTCAGGCACTTTCTGGAAGTGACATCCACCATTAAGTAACTAAGAAGACTAAGTAGCTATTAAAACAAAGAAATCGATAACCCTAACACTAGTTTAAGCGTCACTTCTGTAATTTTTCAAGAGCCAATAATAAACCAGTCACTAAGAAAAACTACAACAGAATGTTTAAAATATCTTTTTTATGTGCCTTAACGTCAAGAGTACCCTAACCCATCTGGGTTAAAATTTTCAACTTGAGTTATTTAATAGGATGTTTTTGCAATTAAACTAAATAAAATTAATAGAAGTAACAGGAAAAGGTGGTACTGGAATTCTGGAGGAAAAAAGTCTCAATTAGCTAGTTCATTTTGATAAAATATATAAAACAACAAATTCACATCTTTTAAAATATATTAAATAATCAGAGGTCAAGATAGTTATCCATAGAATGTCACATCATTCAGTAGTTAGCTCCTTTTCAAAAAAAAAAAAAAACAGTGGAATCAAAGCCACTATGTGTGTTATAGATTTTTTGTTTGTTTTATTTCACCAAATTTTTTCACAAAGCTATATTCAACCATAACTATTTGGCACTTATTATGGTGAAGGTGTAGCAAAAAAAAGTCTACCAAATGTCAATCAAGATCAGATCAAATAAGATTTTTAGTACAGTATAGTCTGCTTAGAAATAAACCAATATGTTCCATAGTTTTTCTGAAATACGCATCACTGCATTTTCTCACACAATATTGTGAATTTCAGTGCGGAGACTGCTGACCCGGAAGCACGGCTGACCTGGCTTTGGGTAAAGGTGCACCTGTAAAACTGCTTAAATTAAATATCAGAACAAACACACAGATAAACAAAATAAAACTTGATTTGTTTGGTTGAGAACAATAAGAGTCCAAAAGGGTCTTCACTTCCTGGAGCTTCAAATCGCAGGAAAGGCTGAGCTGCTGTTCTTCACGTCCTTTTTCATCCAAGTTGCTTCCACTTGAAGAACTAAGAAAACACTACGTTCCACACCTTATTCTTTTTGAGGATTCTATAAAACTTAAGTTCGACATCACAGCATAAGGGTCTGTGCTATAAGGTGGCTAAAACCCGTAGAAAGGAGACCACCACTACACAAAATGTCTGTCCAGTGCCGAAGGTGAGGGCTTCAAACGGTATCATTTCTTTCCCTGCTGCTCGGTACACTCCAGCAATGGCCGCGCCTGTCCAAAAGTTTGAGAGTTTAAAAGAAAAATCAAGATGAATGTAATCAGAAAATTATAGCACTTAAAATTCTATGATAAGTCAAATGTTCCAGATTTTTTACATTAAAATTTGAACATTGTACAAATGTTTTTGTTTTCCCTATTCTTTTGCTGACTATTCTGGGTTTTAAGTATTCCTTTTATGGTTTGCAAATTACTGACCTATGCTTTTAGATATTTTAAAGTGACACCTTAAAACTAAGTCTCCCGGATACAGTGAATAAGACGCATTTGGAGGTTATAAACCAAATCACAAAGACTGTAATTTCCACCTGACCTGATTACAAACTCAAAAACATCTCTTTCTGCCCCATGCATTTACCAGGTACCTAATACATTCTTGGCAATAAATAACAAAGAATCTTCTGAGTGAGAGTGTGCAAGAAACATTTCAGGGAAAGCCACAGGGAACCTCCACTCCACCTTCTACTACACTTGAAGTTCTCTCTGGGAAGAGGATGTACGGGGGGGGGGGTAGAAAACGGAAGAGAGGAGGACTCTCACTATTAATTCAGAGGGTGCCAGGAGAGAGATACTCGGGATTCCTTTCTATTCCCTATGTCGTTAATTGTTCTTTATTATGTTAGTCACTGTAACTCTCTAGAAATGGAGTAAACAAAACAAGCACATTTGTGTCTACTCAGGTACCCTGAGTCGCTGCAGGGATTCAGCACTGTGCCAAGAAAGTTAAGATTTCATTAGTGAGAAAGGAATAGATCCAAAGTTCCCAGCTGAGTACCTCACCCAAATGCTCCCAGCAAGATTCTCCCTGGTCATGGCATGTTCATTCATTCAAATATTCTGTGTCAAATATTCTGGGCAAATATTCTCTATTATAATTTCTGCGTTTCGCAAGGCGTGATCCCTACCCTCCTAGTACACAGAATCTAGCTGAGGACACAAGACAGAAAGCATGAGCATGAAAAGAGGTTCTGAATGATTCAAGACATAGAGTGTCTCAATCAAATGTCTACGCAGTTTATAAATATGATGTGAAGGTGTATTAACCAATTTAAGAAGAAGAACATTAATACCTGTGCCGGTTTCCTAGAACATCTGAACTTTGAAATGCCCATCTCCAGTAGCGATGCATACATAACTGTGCTGCTACCATCTGAGAGCACAGGCTTCATTGAGCCCCTTTTAGAATTTAGTTCCAAAAAAGTGGGTAGAAAGAAGCTAAAGCAACTTGACCTGGGCCTTAAAGTGGGATCTGGATGATGAAGAAGGGAGAAAAGAAAAAACTTCCAAAAAGATCAGCAATGTGAGTAGGGAACATACTCTGTGCATAAAATCTTAAAGACAAACACAGCATCTATGGCATTGTTACTATGTGTTTGTATTATGTTAAACTCTTCACACACACACTATTTCATTTAATCATCACATTGCATACGAGGTGGGTAGTATCATCCTTACTGCACTGGTGAGAAATCCCAAACAGGTCCTCACAGCCAGTAATCCAGTAAAAAAAAACTGGAGCAGAGGGTCTCTATAGACGGCTGATGTAACGCAAAATACTGGATAAGGCCAGTTATGGAAACTCCTTAATGCAGACAGGAGAAAACTGGCCTCCTTCCTGTGTTATCTCAAAGGTTTTATCATTTGCAGGACACAGAGAAAAGAGGCCACTTTGTCCCCGAAAAACCCCTCACGTCAGAGACAGAGGGAGATTTCTCCTTGGAGCTCAAGCTCAAGGTTTAGATTCACAGGCAAAGAAATAAAGTTACAAATTAGTAGGAATGCTATATTTCTATTTTGTAATAATATACTTATGTTTACATGTATACCTAGAAAAGAGTGAGAAAACATAGACCAAAATGCAAATTGTGGTTCTCATTTAGGGATGTGGCAATGGAGGATTTTTATTCTTGCTTTCTTATACCTTTTAATTTATAGAAAATATACATGTTAGTTCTATTTAATTATGAGCTTAAAAAGATTTAAGCTTATTCGCACCCCTGTGACATGGGCAAAAGCCAAGGGGGAAAAACAGGTAAAAATAATATATAATATGAATGTTACTCTAATTCTTATTCAGGAATTCCTAAGAGGAAAAAAATAACCAGGTACTTTTTAAAACAAGAATTCTTGTCATTGGAAGTATTCTCCCATCCTTAAAGTAACCACACCTGAATGAGCAGAAGTAATTCATCAACCACCCTATCATGTTATCCGTCAAGTGACAGCTGATGAGAAAGGAGCAGTAGCTTCCAAAAGGACAAATATCTTCCTTTTGCTGGTGACCTGTACCTCACAAAGCTTAATTAACATAGGCTTCCCTAAAGCCAGCAAGAGGAACTCTGACTCGGGAAATCAAAGATGTTAGCGCAAAAATGGGGAAACAGGGGTAAGGGAAAAACAATGCATGAGAAAGGGCCCTGTGCAATTGATGGATGTCTGTCTCACACCAGTGTTTCACTCTCTCTCCTCCCCCTCTCTAAAGGCAATGAAAAAAATGTCCTCGGGTGAGGATAAAAAGAATTTTGTTTTAAACGGACCTGTGGTTAAGACCACTTTCTCTGTATCTCACTCAGGCCTGTTTCTAAAATGGGTCCTGAAGTAACCTGACAAGTCCTATGAAATATTTTGACTGGTCTTTTATTTTATTTTTATATTTACTTCTTAGTGAACTTCTTAGGGTGACACTGGTTAATATAATTATATAGATTCCAGGGGCACAACTCAACAACACATCATCTGTACACTGTATTATGTGTTCACCACCCCGAGTCAGGTCTCCCTCCATCACCACTGACCCCCCTTTACCCTCTCCCTCCCTCCACCCCCATTTCCCTCTGGCAATCATCATACTGTTGTGTGTGTCTAAGATTGACTGGTATTTTAATGTCTAACATACTTGTCAAGATTCCAGCAGTTATTGGTCCCACGATGCCCATCAACAGGATGCTTACAGACATGAACCTACCATATTTGTGATGTCTGAGGGTGAAGAGGGCCAGTAATCCGGCAGGGACATGAAAGAAGAGAGAGGACACCAGTGCCCACAGGAACACACCATACCACATCTCTACAAGAGAAAGCAGAGAAGGGTCACAAATCACTGCCTTTCCCAGTGCAGTCATCACAGAGGGTGGTCATGACTCCCAGTTAGTCCATTTTCAAAACCACTCACTTGCAAGGTGGGTTCGTCAGTGAACTATCCAAATAGTGACGGTTTTAGAGGGATCGGCAAACTGCAGCCACTGCCTGTTTTTGTCCTTAAAGTCTTGCCCATTCATTTAAGTCTTGTCGATGGCTGTTTTTAAGCCACAAGAGCAGAGCTGAAATGGTGTCAGGGACCTCATGGCCTGCAAAGCCTGGAATATTTACTATCTGGCCTTTCACAGAAAAAGATGACCAATCCCTGATAAGCCACCTCTAACCCCAAACACTGAAAAATAAAAAGAGGTTCACTCGGATTTGAAAACTGCCCTAAATCATGTCCCTCCTGCAAGAACTATGAGCCTAAATTGCTGACAGGGTGCCACGCAATCAATACCCATTGATCCTTCCTGGCTTTTTGATTATTCAGTCTCCTACAATGGAAAGCTATAAATTATACTCATTCAACAATCGTTTTCAAGATAATACAGTAAACATCAAGCCACAGCCTCCTTTTAGGCTATCAAAGCTCTGCAAGATATGACATAAATACCAGGAAATAGAAATGTTTGGTTTGAAGACAAACAGGAAGTAGAGGGCAGGTCAGAAGAGGAGCTGGTTCCTACAGAGAACCTCTAATCACTCTTAGGATGACAGTAATTCAGTAACATTAAAAACTTTGATCACCAACCATGCACTCAAACCTGTGCATGAGACACCTTGGAAAATACAAAAAAGGAGAAAATACCATCCTGCCCTCAGGACTTTGTAATTTGGTAAGTGGCAGGCACAGCACTGCCCCCCTGTAACAGGGCGCAGCCAAGAGGGGGGCCACAGAAAAGGATTTGGGATGGGGTCCAGAGCTCAGGGTGTCCAGAAAATCATTAAGATGTCCTCACTCCCCCCCACACACACAGGGGGAAGGAACAAATGGAGCCAGGCCCTTGAGAGCTGTTTTGCACTGCAACAGTTTTGCAGCTGACCTCTGGAATGATTATTTAACATATCTATAACGTTTAACTGGTTTCATAGATATGTTAAATAGCTGTGGCCAAGTTTTGAGCCAGATGAAAGGGAGAGCCACACGGTTTCAGCAAAGTAAGGGTCCCCTCTTGGCCAGGTGAGGGGAGAGCCATGCAGTTTGGGGCACAGTGAGGACCCCAGCAGTCAAGTAGGGGAGAACCATGCAGTTTTGGAGAGAGGGCACACCCCTGCAGCCAGGTAAAAGAGAGAGCCACGTGGTTTTGGCAGAGTGAGGACCCCTTCTTTCCCAGGTGAAAGGGAAAACCACGTAGCTTTGCCAGAATGGAGAGCCCTGCAGCCAGGTGAAGAAGAAAGACATGTGCCTTCGGTGGAGTGTGGACCCCTGCAGCTTTGGTAGAAGAGGCCCACGTGGCTTTGGGGTGCCCCCTTTGGCCATGTGGCCTGAAAAGCAGGAGAGACTTTGACTGGAACTGAGTACAAAGAACTCTTGCCAGTGGACCATGAGAGGGTACCACAGTACTTCGGATTAACTAGAGATCCTGCCTGCAGGGCGACACAGCTGACGGTGCCAGCGGCCTGAAACACAGGGTGTGCTTCTTTTCCTGAGATACAGTACCCAGAGTTAGGGCAGGGGGGAAGGAAGTGCTGTAGGCGGCTTTGGTTATCTTAAAGGACTTTGATATTTTAATGGAGACATTGGGTCACTACTTTTAAGTCTGTAAAGCTCTAAATAAACCTTTCGTTTCCTTTTCATAAATCTCTGGCATTGAGAGATGTCTTTCCAATTGGCGGCGGACAGAAGAGCCCAGTTAGATATTAGTATTCTGTCCTTGGGAATTCTGTCCTCTGTCCAGGGGCCAGAACAGGCCCCTGTTCTGTAGCAGTGTTTGGCATCCCTTGGTGGGCCAAGTATTGCCACCCCCTTGGACCTCTTGTTCGGTAACACCCCTAGTGAACCCAGGCAGCTTTAGAATTCTCTGAACAGCTCTCTAGCCACCCACATGGATAGAGAGAAGGTGACAGACACATTAGATAAAATCTTGTCCATCCTTGTGCTAGAGGCGGGTAAGTAACAGGCAATTTAAGAGATCAGTCGACAGCTTAACTCAGAATTTCTCCATCACAGCACTATAGCGGTTTGGACCAGGTAACTGGTGCAGGCGGCTGTCCTGCGCGCTTGTGGGATGCGGAGCAGCACTCCTGGCCTCTACCCCCTGGGTGCCAGTGGTACTCCCTCCCCAGCTATGACAGCCAAACATTGCCAAAAGTCCCCTGGAAGCAAAACTGTGCAAATTAAAAACCCACTGGTTGAGGCAGAGGGTTTATAAGAGCAATAACAGTTAAAGCTGCAAAGACAGATGGGGTTACATTACAATGAGCTTTGAGGCCCGGGCTGGAATTCAACCAACATGAAAGCCCTGATATACCATTAGGTTTTGAGCAGTAAAGCTTTGTCGGACATTATATCCCCCGTCCCACCTTACGCTCCCAGGAGAACAAACTGGAGAACTTTTCTGGAGGGTAATTTGGACACATGTATCCAAAAAAGTCAAATGTGCATATCCTCTGCCTTAGCGATTGTACTTCCAGGAATACACCCTACAGGGATACGCACGCAGGCAAGGACAGGCAACAAGACCTTCTCGGCAGCGCTGTCTGTAAGGGCGAAAACTAGATCCAACCGCATGTCTGTCGATGTAGGATTACTTGTGAAATGCATTTGGTATATGCACAAAATTGTACATTACACGATCATATAAAAATGTAAGATAGATCTTTCTATACTGATGGGGTGAGATGCCATCAGTGTAAAAAGTAATAAAAAATGCCAATTGCAGAATAGTATGTAGAATGAGACCCCATTTTTGTAAAAACAAAACACAAACATTGACACGTAAATGCTTCTGTGTACTCTGAGAAAAGTCTGGACATGTTTGTTTCATAAATATTTACAACATGCACAGGTGCTGTTCTAAGTGCTTTACAAATACTAACACATGTAATCCTCTAAACAACTCGGAGAGGCACGTATTATTAACACCCCCAGCTCTCCGGGTGAGACCATGGAGGCAGAAGGAGGTGAAGAATTTGCCTGAGCCGACGCGGAGCAGAAGGCAGGGCCCCGCGCTCAACCCTGACGGCGGCAGCCTGCCCTCACTCTCTAAGCGCCTCTTGGCACATACTAAGCAAAAGAAAATTGTTATTTCTGGAAAGTAGGATGGGTTGGGGGAGGGTTGATGACAATTCACTTCTCACTTTGAAAGAAAACAACAAAACGTGTTTTAAAAAGAACTGTTCAGGAAGCCTGGTCCAATTGGGAGGGACAGCTGAAGAGGGGCCATTAAGGAGCATCAGTCAGCCGTTTTTGAAGCTGAATTGGAGTTGTAAGCTTCTGTTGTATGTGTGGTTTTTTCCCCAGATAAATTTCTTATTATTCTTGGGTGGGGGGCAGGCTGCTTAAGGGGCTTACAGGGATTGGGGGTGGGGGTCGAGTCCCCCAAACCACCCTTGTTATTGTCTCTGATGACTGCGTTCTTTGCTCACTTTGAGTCAAATAAGCTTCAGTTAACACCACATTCTACATATGCCTAAATTAGGATGCCTAGCTCCTGTTTGGGATGAAAGGCTCTGAATGAAAGCATCGGAGGGGCACCACCCAGGGGTCGAGCCTTATTAAAAAGAACAAACAACTCAGAATGCAACTCAAGCCTCACTATCATGACAAGTGTAAATTAATATAAATTTTCTGCGAAGGAGGATTTGTACAAAAACTATCAAAAATTAAACACAGCAAACTGATTCAGGAATTCTGCTTCTAGGAATGTATCCTATCAATGTCCTTACACAGGGGCAAAAAGGGGATGTGTACAGTGATACTGTCTGTAATAATAAAAGATGTGCAGTCCTCCATGTCCAATGGAGCACCAGTATAAAAAAATTTGATTTATCCCTATAATGAAACATTATGGAACTATTAAAAAGAACTAAGAAAAATAAATTTTAAATAAATAATAAATTATTAGCTCTTCATGTACAGATTTCCAAAATATATTGTTAAATTTAAAAAATCAAGGTATGAAAAGGTGCGTAGATGATGCTTTCATTTGTCTGAAAAGAAGAGAAAGGAGGGATATGTTGGTATTATGTCAGTGATACGGTGGTGACTGCCTCTGATGTCAGTCAGGGGCCTGGGTGAGAAAATACTTCCTTCTCACTGTATACCTTTTTGTTCTGTTGGGAAAATGTCTAACCATTTGCCAAAAAAGTATTAAATTTCTTTAAATTAACAGAAAAAAAATAACAAACAACTGAGGGTGTTTGGCACTTTTGGTGAAAAACTATCAGATAGCTAAAAAAAGTTTCAAACAATTTGTGAGCTTTTATTTTTCTTTCTGCTGAACAAGCTATTATGTATCTTCAGAATTGTTTTATAAAACTGGTCTATTTTGTTTGATGATTATTTTTTGCAAATTCTGTTAAAGCAAGTTAAATCATGCAATATGGAGTATAAAGTGATTAAATAGCTGTGTCCCAAGCTTAAAATTAAATATATATATATAAAACATATAAATAACTAACATATGTGTAATGTATAAATATGTACTTATTAACTAACCACTTATTAACTAACAACCACCTGTCCAGTTAAAGTGTCGATCAGCAGTTGCGGGCAGGATTCTGAATCCTCAGAGTCTGGGTCCCCCCCTCTTTAGAAACAAACCTACTGCAGCCTCCTTTCCAGCCTTGGTGGGAAGCCATTCTTGCTTCCCCTGCCCAGGAGACTTGCTCTTGCTTCTTGGCAGCAGCTCCAGAGGTTTCACTGTCTGGTGTCCAGACCGTGCTTCTCCCAAACAAAAGTGTACCCACCAGAGCTCTGACACCCACAGACCCCTTCCGCCTGGGCAGCTTCTAATGTACCCTGGCTCAGTGACCGCAACCTGG